CATGTGATGAGAGGGGTGCATGTCGGCGAAGAGAGGCACCAGTCTGCTATGCAAATGACATCGATCACACTTTATGCCATCAAATGCATTGCAGTCAAAAGATTTTTGCTATTTTTAATGTTGTTTTGCATTTTGAGAAGTGTTAAAACAATTAAAAAAATAAAAAGATATAAATAAATATAGATGAAATAAATATAAACATATAGGATATGATTTTTGGATGTGTGATGTGTATATAAGAAAATTTATCCAGACAATTTAAATGATTAAGATTATAAATTTACAATACAAACTCGTAGTATTTTTAAGAAAGACAAAAAAATATGGGGTTAGTATTATGTTATGGATTAATTTAGCACAAGAGTTGCACGGAAACAGATATAGTATGAAGACTTACTATTAATATACTCGTGGGGTAATATTAGCATGAATTCCTCAGTATTACGTTCCTAGATTAGGTTCTATACATAAAAAAGAATATATAAATCATGGAACAAATAATGTTTCTACAAACAAAATAGTATTGATATTTAACAATTTAAAATTATAATATAAATACGTAATTCATTCTACAGCTGGTTTTTGATTACGTTCTAATATAACAGCAAAGTAACAAAACTCCAGAAAAATGTGCGAACATAAAAAGCAAATATGGCTTTAGGTTAGTTGGCTAATGAACGCTGACTCTGAGCTTCAAATTTGGCAGGATACGAGTTCGATTCCTGGTACTTGCAGTCTTAAAAATAATTATTTACAAATACTTAATTATAAGAATTATTTTCAAGACCACTGTTTTTGGGTATTTCACTACACTTGAAACCAAAAATTCATGTAATTAAAATAATATAAAAAAAGAAATTTGTTTGTTGTAGTTGACTACTGTTCGAAAAACCTCTTTATTAATAGAATATTTATAAGAGAATCTTAAGCTGACTATAACTTACTTTTATTATGTAGACAAGAGAGCGAAAATATATTAAATCTATATCAAAATTTATTAACAATTGTGGTATCTAAAGGAATAACATTAATTTTTGTTTTGATTATTTACTCGATGAAGTGTAATGCAAAATTTCTTAAAATAAATGAATTTATACTACATGAACTTATTTTGAATCGCATACTAAACTAATTTTATATGATATGTCAGATAACCATGCACAAGGAACTTATAAATTTATTTTTACAGAAATAATGAAAGAGAAATTTTCGAAATTTCGGATCTAAAATTTTCAAGTCGTTTACAACTGCTGATATATCTATCAGCTCATAATGCTTCTAAATTCCATTTTTGAATCATATTACAGATCGATCGATTATAAGACACTGTCTTGTATCAGCGCTATTACTTAGCCCTTTTGGCATGAAAAAGTAAAAGATTCTTTTTATTGCATTGAACAACTGCTCCAACTTGTTAAATAAAAGTATTTCGAAAAGAAATTTTAACTATACATTAGATACAACTAATTTTGAATATAAAATAAAATAGAACAGAATTACTAAATTTGAATAGACGTTTTGATATGAGTAAGGAAAGCTGTTCTGATATTTATATAATATATTTATATTTATTGTCAAAATTATGTCATTAATTAATAATATTATTAAATACAAACTTGCATCATATGGAATTTCTGTCATGAGAACAGATTAAGAGCTCTTCTCCACATTTAGTTCTGGACTTTGCTACAGTATCGGCTGTTAGGTGAGTTCACGATAATAGTTTTTATAATAATCGTCAAAAGTAGATAAAAACTATTTGCATATAGAAATTGATTAGAAATCTAACTCCACAGTTTAGATTTTCTCGTTTAAAATGATCAAATCGGTAAACGATCTATAAGTGTTTGGCGATTGAACTTATTGCTAACTAAACTTTTAAAATAAGGTGAAAAAATTAAGGATAAGTTCAGTGTCAATGGTGTTAAGTACCATTTATATTGGTTTATATTATAATTTCATCATTCTTCTACTTATTTTGATTAAAATTGAAATGTAACAGAGAATGTGACTTAAAGCCTCATACACGACTTTAGATAGGGCTATCTGCCATTTTAAATAGTCCCATTTCTTTAACTTGATAACTTGAGGTAACGCATCAGGTAACTTGTTAGAAATCTCAACTATATACTATATAAAAATATCTCCTAGTAAATCTAAAATTTTAGTAGATAATATTTAAAATCACGAATTTGTATTTAGATCATGAATATGTAGATTGAAATATAAAATATATATAAAGACATAAAACAAAATGTACATAAGTAGTTTGAATATAATATATATATAT